CATGGACTTCACCGGATCACAATACACAAAACCAAATCGACCATATTTGCATCAATAAAACGTTCAGGAGGACTATAGAGGACGTGAGAACCAAGAGAGGAGCTGATATAGCATCAGATCATCACTTGCTGGTCGCCAAGATGAAATTGAAACTCAAGAAGCACTGGACAACGAGGCGGACAACATCACAAAGGTTCAATACGGCTTACTCCAGGATACTGACAAACTCAATAAATTCAAGAGTGCCCTCGGCAATAAGTTCCAGGTCTTTCATGATCTACTCAATGGAGAAGGAACTGCTATGGAGAGCAACTGCAAGGGGATCAAAGAGGCAATCACTTCAACATGTCATGAGGTTACGGGCCACGAGGAGCATCATCACAAGGAATGGATCACTGTTGATACACTGGACAAGATTCAAGAAAGGAGGAACAAGAAAGCAGCAATCAATACCAGCCAAACAAGAGCGGAAAAAGCCAAGGCACAAGCTGAATACACAGAACCAAACAAGCAAGTGAAGAGGAGCATCAGAACCGACAAGCGTAAATATGTGGAAGATTTAGCAATGACGGCGGAAAAGGCTGCAAGAGAAGGAAACATGAGACAACTGTATGACACGACAAAGAAACTCTCTGGAAATCGCCGCAAACCAGAACGACCAGTGAAAAGCAAGGAAGGCAAGGTAATCACCCACATTGAAGAACAACAAAACAGGTGGGTAGAACACTTCAAAGAACTCTTGAATCGACCAGCTCCACTGAACCCACCCAACATCGAAGCAGCACCCACGGACCTCCCAATCAATGTTGGCCCACCAACAATTGAAGAAATCAGCATGGCCATCAGACAAATCAAGAGTGGCAAAGCAGCAGGACCAGACAACATCCCAGCAGAGGCACTAAAAGCAGACGTAGCGGCAATTGCAAGGATACTCCACATTCTCTTCAATAAGATTTGGTATGAGGAACAAGTACCAACAGACTGGAAAGAAGGACTTCTAATCAAAATACCGAAGAAAGGCGATCTCAGCAAGTGTGATAACTACAGGGGCATCACTCTTCTCTCAATACCGGGAAAAGTCTTCAACAGGATATTGTTAAACAGGATGAAGGACTGCGTAGACGCCCAACTTCGTGACCAACAGGCAGGATTCCGTAAGGATAGATCGTGTACAGACCAAATCGCAACTCTACGGATCATTGTGGAACAATCAATTGAATGGAATTCATCACTCTACATCAACTTCATTGACTACGAAAAGGCATTTGATAGCGTGGACGGAACAACACTATGGAAACTTCTTCGACACTACGGCGTGCCTCAGAAGATAGTCAATATAATACAGAACTCATATGGTGGATTAAACTGCAAAATTGTGCATGGAGGACAATTGAAAAAGTCGTTCGAAGTAAAGAACGGTGTCAGGCAAGGTTGCTTACTCTCACCCTTTCTCTTTCTCCTGGTGATCAACTGGATCATGAAGACGTCAACGTCTGAAGGGAACGCGGGATACAATGGACATCTAAGATGCAGTTGGATGATCTAGACTTCGCAGACGATCTGGCCCTTCTATCCCAAACGCAACAACAGATGCAGGAGAAGACAAACAGTGTGGCAGCAGCCTCAGCAGCAATAGGCCTCAATATACACAAAGGGAAAAGCAGGATTCTCCGATACAACACAACATGCAACAATCCAATCACAATTGACGGAGAAGATTTGGAAGATGTAAAAACCTTTACGTATCTGGGCAGCATCATTGATGAACAGGGTGGATCTGATGCAGATGTGAAGGCGCGGATCGGCAAAGCAAGAGCAGCATATTTACAACTGAAGAACACCTGGAACTCAAAGCAACTGTCAACCAACACCAAGGTCAGGATTTTCAATACAAATGTCAAGACAGTTCTACTGTATGGGGCAGACACCTGGAGAACTACAAAAGCCCACATCCAGAAAATACAGGTGTTTATTAACAGTTGTCTACGCAAAATACTTCAGATCCATTGGCCGGACACTATTAGCAACAACCTACTGTGGGAGAGAACAAACCAGATCCCAGTGGAGGAGGAAATCAGGAAGAAGCGCTGGAAGTGGATAGGATACACATTGAGGAAAGCACCCAACTGCGTCACAAGACAAGCCCTCACATGGAAGCCTGAAGGTCAAAGGAAAAGAGGAAGACCAAAGAACACATTACGCCGAGAATTGGAGATAGACATGAGAAAAATGAACAAGAATTGGATGGAACTAGAAAAGAAGGCCCAGGACAGAGTGGGTTGGAGAATGCTGGTCAGCGGCCTATGCTCTATTGGGAGTAACAGGCGTAAGTAAGTAAGTAAGTAAAGAAGAGGAATACCAGTAAAATAGTATACAGAAGGATAACTATTGTTTACACAGTAGACGAATAAATTGCTGTTAATATATTAATTGACTTCACAAATCTCTTAGACATAACTCTCATTTATAAATTTACCGAGTGAAGACGCTGAAATACTGCAGACACATATTTGAACATTTCTGGCGCTGTTTTTAAGAGCGTCAGACAATTTTGTTCAAACTACTAACATAAAGTATAGAAATTAGTTGTTATTTCATTCTATGCTCTAAGATTGTTGAAATTCTATCAGGCTAAAAGTAATCCATTTATGATGTTACATAATATCAAAATGACTAGAATTGTATGGCTGTAAATCAGTTTATAGAATAAAAGTATAATAGCTTCAATAAGAATCGACTGTTATACAAACTTTACATGATCTGAACTCGAGGATAATTTATTCGTTTTTGAAACACAACGAGACCATTATAATTACAAAATGAGCAAAACTAATATTTCTTATAAATTAGACGCTCTACATTAATATACACGTTTCATGAGTGAATATAAAATTAATATAAATTAAATGATTTTGAATAAATTAACGGTATCAATTTGAGTTTATTGCTATTCAAAACGCTAATTATGAGTTAATGATAGGACAATTGGAAAAGTAGTCTGTAGGTTAGTGAAAACGTCTTTTCAACATTCCCTTTCTCTATTTTACCATGAAAGAATCTTTAAATATGGCAAAAATTGAATAGTTTACGATTGATAACAATAAAAGCTACTTATTTATCAATTTGGTGACTAGCGTTGATTAAATGCTTAAGAATAGGGTTTCTCATTAACCTTTTCAGTCCATTTCCCATAGATGAGGGTTGGTGACCGGAAATGTGGATTCTTTTAATCATACGCCTATTGTAAGTAGTTCAAAGGAAATTGGACACGGCTGGAAATATAGACCACAAAACCTTTAAATCTATTTTGGTTTCAATATTGAAAAATGAAAAAAACATTCTTTCTATAGCTTTTCTTGCAAGTCATGTTAGTAATTAAATACCTATCTAACTTTTGGAAGTCAGTTTAAAGAACAAAGGTTTTCAACTACTACAAGGCATGTCACTTTTGTTTGGCATGCGTAACAGCCTGACTAAAGAAAAGCAAATAACTCTGAAATCCCTTTCAAATATGCAAATGCTCCAGCACTGCTAACTCACTCCTCGTCATATAATCTCTAATAAATAACCGAAGTCCAAGAAGAAGAAAATATATTCACCAATGCAAACCGATTGGAAATCAAATCGCAGGCGAGCAAATAATTATCTAACATTCAAATAAACACACAGTTTACATGGCCATTGTTAAAAATATTAACCATACATTAGACAAAAGTAAATCTATATTAATTGTCATCAGAAGATTGAAGGAAATCAATCCCTATCCAGTAGATCATTGGTAATTTATGTTTTCAACTCGAAAGTAAAGTGAAAACAGCGAAAAATATTTCATTCGTATTGCACAGAAATGAAGTAAAAATAATCTCGCACCAGTCAACAAGTAAAAAATGTTAAGGGAAATATATTCAATATAAAACAATTATTGAAAACATTTCATGTTTGTAATAGCACGGGATATGACGATTTGGAAAGTATCGGCAGAGTGAACAGCATCTAAGTTCATCAATACAGTATTACAAATAGATAAAAAAATATTTTCAGGAAGATAATTAAAAATAATTTAGTTCGTGAAAAGAAACCAATCAGACAATCAGTCAAATTCAATTTCATCCGACTGTAAATTATTCACAGATAATTACGTTGATAATCGAAATATTAAAATAAAATAACCCAAATATATGATTTACAGGCAGATATGGCGATCGCATTGGTGATAAATGATGGGCTGCCTTATCAAATCATCAAATATTCTAGGTAAATAAAGTGAATAAGAAAACTGAAACAAGTATATATTGACAACAGCAAGCGTCTGTATTATCTATGATTGGATCTGAGCTTACCTGCCTTCCAATCGATTATGCGTTTACTTATATAGTGTGGTACGTTGATTGCACCTGACTCTATATTAGGTCTCCCACTTGAGAGAGAAATGATGTCAAGGTTTTGAGGAATAATATTCAGTTTGTTGAAGAGTATACCCAAGTAAGCATCGTCAATACGAATATGCTGCGTAAATGCACTGGCAATTGCTAGTCGTTTGACGATATTCGAGCCCAAAATATAGGTAGCCCCATAAAAGTAGGGAGGATATCTTGCCCATGGGAATTCCTTAAACATTACCGCCCAAACGTTACTTATATTACCATCATAGCTTGGTCTAATAACAATGGAAACTTCGTGTCGAAGCCCGCCAGTCAATTCTCTCAAACAATCTGTTGTGTGATTTCTATAAAACTTGATCACATTCCATGGAACCAAATCATAATCATTATCTACAAAGAGGAATAACGGCACTGAATCCGGGCAAAGTGCTGACAACCAACGAAATGTAAATATGAGTTTTGTGGTCAGATTAAAATATGTATCATGAAAAGAACCAACCAAAATGTCTTCGTGAAAATCTGCTTCCATTGCAAGTCGTTTAATAAATGTCCATCTATCTCTGTCATGCTTCCTCGATAACCTCCACCAAGAATTTCTCAGTTGAAATTTATAATTACCAAATGTGAACATGTTTGATTCATTTGGATAGGGTATACCCACAACAAAGACGAATTGGACAGTGATATTCGACCATAAGTGCTTCTGCATAAATGTATTTCGTGCATGGTCCCGTTCATTCGAACAGTAGCTACAGGATTTGATCACAACAATTAAGTCAGGAACACGTTCTCTCCCACATGGGTTGCAAATACTTTTTGGCAGTCGTAATACTAATATGTCCGGATTGTTTATTGGCAACTGAAAATAGAAAAAACGCATTATGGTCACCGAACAAAGAGATGTAACCAGAAGATTCACATTATTGTTCACCGATAAATAGTAATTTTCTCGTATCTTTCTAAGATTGTCCGTTCTTGTTCTGCATACAAAAAAGTGATAATGTTGTAGCTATATACGATCGTGTACATCGACGTGTTAAGTTTGTTGTGACCTGGACATGAAATGAAAGTACAGTGAAGCAGTCTTCCAGCTAGACCATTCGGTTACTCATAGAATGTGCGACTAGAATGCTACCAATCCACTGACGAGTTGTACTCAACAAAAACGCACATGTGAAATATATTTCACGATAGTGTCAAGGCAGTTGTGCAATACGCATTGCGCGGAAAAAAGTAGACGAGGTTTCGACCTTGTCTGACTAACGCATTTCTGTACGAAGATGACGGCGACTTACTAGGTCCCAGGAGACTTTTGTGGCAAATGCCAGGGTGATTCTGTCCCCAGTGAAATAAATCACTCCTTACTCGAATTCCTTCAAAATGAGTGAGTGTAAGTATTAGACATGTATATATTTTGATGCCAGTTTGTAAGGTAACCTATCTAAAAATGACCAAAATAACTTACTGTGGTTGATGGAAAACCCTTTTCAGAATCGTATATCACTTTGTCAAAATCTAATGTTTGAGGAAATAAATTGTATCCGGATGACCAGAGACCCGGAGATCTCATTATGTTGTCCTCATTTCTTGTGGTGAGGCGTAGATATTTTCGATAGTATGGGCTATCGAAAGGATTCTCAGCATTCTTAGCAACTGGAACACGTAAAGCAAGATTGATTATTGGCAACGCATCATCAAACAACTCAGCTATAGAAGACGGTGGCCATTTTGACGTTAGATCTGTGTGGTTCCGTCTGTGTTGTCTGTTCGGTCTGTTTATATCTCCGATGCATTTAAGCCATGAACTTCTTGACTGTGTACATTGTTTAAAGTAAACATTCTTGCAAACCGAGTCAAACAGTGAATAGGTATTAATCGAATCGTTACTATCAAATGACCACATGAAAATTATGCCAACCGTCCATAAACATACAATCGGGATCAGTACACTCCAAATCAATAACATTTCCGAATTGGATGACAATGTGAAGCAATTTATTTCTTAGTCATAACAGAGTTGGCTTTTGACAGATATCTTGGACTTTCGAGCGATCGTTTATATGAAAACTCCTGTCAGTTAGCATCCGGTATTCCTGGTTAACGTGAATTACAATATAGTAATGTCGTTATATATAACAGAAAAGTATATAAGCACTAAATTTTGTCTAATGCTTTATACGTTTTACAAATTAATTTTAAATGAGTTTCACCATAGTATACTAATCTGATAATAATCAAATTACTATGCTAACAATCTTTCTTTAACATATAAAAAGACACTAAGAAAGTGAAATGTTTACCTCGCAAATATGTTAAATAAATAAATTTCATATCATAAACTGCTGGAAACACTTATGCAAACTGATAGAATAAGAAATGCTTAAAAAATTACACAAATAAATCAATTTCCTGTTAATCAATATAACATTCTTTTTCTCAAATTGTTATCCACATACTGATTTTGAAAATACGAGGATCGAAAGTGTCCATAAACCTACTATGAGTATATATAAAGTGGATGGTATTAAATCTAACAACCACAGTAAAAGCAAAATGAGTTCTGCTGATCAAAATAAAGTATAACCTTCACATGAATAATGATCAAATGCAACAACTCAAAATCATGATAGATTTCAGTGTCAATCCACTTCGACTAAGGTGATGATTGGAGGCAGTCGACAGAGAACGTATATGTGCTCAACATTTTCATGTGAAACAAAACATCACTACTGAAAAATCCCTCTCCCACTGAATTGTTGGTTGTGTAATTATGATACAGAATAATTGATGGTATTTGAAAGAACAACACAGTCAATATGAAAACTGTAGTCAATTTCTTAGAAAAATATATTCCACAAAGTATATATCTTGTAATAGTCATCAGGAATTATTGCGATTTGAATGTAGTTAACACCCGTTTTCTAATTATTATACACCATTTTTAGTAATCAACTCCGCCTGGAGTCCAAGCCTGGATAAAAGAGGAGGGTTGGGCATGGGGTTAGCGACACCGTCCCGTAGAAAACTAACTCGCCAAAAAATTGCTAACCAGAAAAAATTATGAAAACCTTTTAAACTCTGACCTGGGAGTCAGAAGGTCTTCATTTAGACGAGTTATGACGTCTCATAATGGAAGCCGAGCTCCTTCGGTAGTCACGAGGCTGATGCCCCTTCTGACAACCAGAGCAACCATTTATTTAGGTACATGGAATACTCGTACAATGTGGGAGACTGGCAGAGTCTTCCAAATTACTGCAGAAATGAAGAGATACAACCTAGAGGTGCTTGGGATCAGTGAAACACATTGGACAAAAACGACTACCTTCAGAGGAGCCTCTGTTATACTCTGGCCATGAAGAAGAAAACCCCCCACATACACAACGAGTTGCGTTGATGTTATCAAAACAAGTACAAAATACACTTATAGGATGGGAATCTCATGGACCAAGGATCATCAAAGCCTCCTTCAAAACAAAGAAAGAGGGCATTTCAATGAACATCAGCCAATGCTATATGCCTACCAACGACTACAATGAAGACGTTAAAGGTCAATCCTACGATAAGCTGCAGTTAGTCGTCGAGATGTGCCCGACAAAGGACCTGACCATTCTGATGGGAAATTTCAACACCAAGGTTGGAACGGACAACACTGGATATGAAGACATCATGGGACGACACGGACTGGGAGAAAGGAACGAAAATGGTGAGAGATTTGCAAATCTATGTGCCTTCAATAAGCTGGTCATAGGCGGCACCATATTCCCACATAAACGCATTCACAAAAGCACATGGACTTCACCGGATCACAATACACAAAACCAAATCGACCATATTTGCATCAATAAAACGTTCAGGAGGACTATAGAGGACGTGAGAACCAAGAGAGGAGCTGATATAGCATCAGATCATCACTTGCTGGTCGCCAAGATGAAATTGAAACTCAAGAAGCACTGGACAACGAGGCGGACAACATCACAAAGGTTCAATACGGCTTACTCCAGGATACTGACAAACTCAATAAATTCAAGAGTGCCCTCGGCAATAAGTTCCAGGTCTTTCATGATCTACTCAATGGAGAAGGAACTGCTATGGAGAGCAACTGCAAGGGGATCAAAGAGGCAATCACTTCAACATGTCATGAGGTTACGGGCCACGAGGAGCATCATCACAAGGAATGGATCACTGTTGATACACTGGACAAGATTCAAGAAAGGAGGAACAAGAAAGCAGCAATCAATACCAGCCAAACAAGAGCGGAAAAAGCCAAGGCACAAGCTGAATACACAGAACCAAACAAGCAAGTGAAGAGGAGCATCAGAACCGACAAGCGTAAATATGTGGAAGATTTAGCAATGACGGCGGAAAAGGCTGCAAGAGAAGGAAACATGAGACAACTGTATGACACGACAAAGAAACTCTCTGGAAATCGCCGCAAACCAGAACGACCAGTGAAAAGCAAGGAAGGCAAGGTAATCACCCACATTGAAGAACAACAAAACAGGTGTGTATAGCACTTCAAAGAACCTGCCCAACATCGAATTAGCAACCACGGACCTCCCTGTCATCAACAGTTGAAGAGATCAGCATGGCAATCAGACAAATCAAAGGCAACAAAACAGCACCTCAGCAGGGGCACTGAAAGCAGATGTAACAGTAACTGCAAAGATACTCCACATTCTCTTCAATAAGATTTGGAAGGAAGAACAAGTACCAACAGAATGAAAGGAAGAACATCTGATCAAGATACCAGCAAGTGTGATAACTACAGGGGCAACACTACGGATCATTAAGGAGCAATCAGTTGAATAGAGTTTATCACTCTACATCAACTTCATTGACTACGAGAAAGCATTTGAAAGCGTGGACAGGACAACAATATGGAAGCTTCTACAACACTGCGGCGTGGCTGAGAAGATAGTCAATATCATACGGAATTCTTATGATGGATTAGACTGCAAAATCGTGCATGAAGGACACCTGACAGACTCGTTCGAAGTAAAGACCGGTGTCAGGCAAGGTTGCTTACTCTCACCCTTTCTCTTTCTCCTGGTGGTTGGCTTGATCACGAAGACGTCAACATCTGAAGGGGAGCACGGAATACAGTGGACATCTAGAATGCAGCTGGACAATCTAGCCTTCGCAGATGATCTGGATCCTCTATCGCAAACGCAACAACAGATGCAGGAGAAGACAAACAGTGTGGCAGCAGTCTCAGCAGCAGTAGGTCTCAATATACACAAAGGAAAAAGCAGGATTCTCCGATACAACACAGAATGCACCAATCCAATCACAATTGACGGAGAAGCTTTGGAAGATGTAAAAGCCTTTACATATCTGGGCAGCATCATTGATGAACACGGTGGGTCTGATGCAGATGTAAAGGCGTGGATCGGTAAAGCAAGAGCGGCACATCTACAACTGAATAATATCTGGAACTCAAAACAATTGTCAAGCAACACCAAAGTCAGAATTTTCAATACAAAAGTCAAGGCAGTTCTATTGTATGGGGCGGAAACCTGGAGAGCTATGAAAGCCATCATTCAGAACATAAAGGTGTTTATTAACCTACCGTGGGAGAGAACAAACTAGATCGCAGCGGAGAAAGAAACCAGGAAGAAGAGCTGGAAGTGGATAGGACACATATTGTGGAAAGCACCGAACTGCGTCACAAGTCAAGCGCTCACATGGAATCTTTAAGGCCAAAGAGGGAGATGAAGACCAAAGAACACATTACGCCAAAACGTGGAGACAAACATAAGAAAAATGAACAAAAATTTGACAGAAATGGAAAGGAAGGCCCAGAACATAGTGGGTTGGTGAATGCTGATAGGCAGCATATGCTCTATTGGGAGTAACAGGTGTAATTAATTAATTAATTAATTAATTAAGTAAGTAAGTAAGTAAGTAAGTAGATAAGTAAGTAAGTAATAGTTATCAGTGAGATCTCTTAACTCATACATGAACGTCGTAAACTCAAATTTAATTTGTGAAAGGATAGAAATACTGAGATTGTACCATCAATGCATTGGTTTGTAAAATGAACACATAGCTTCCTCTAATTAACTCAATATATATCATGAGTCAAACGCATTCGTAAGTGAACTATTAGTCTATTTTCTCTTCAAAATAAATGTGAAAAATAAACAATAACAGTGTCATATTTTTTTCTTTTTACCAAACGTAATTCGAAGTTAGTTTATTTAATGATGTGATATATGATTAGTACCGGAATGCTTATTGCGCATAAATCTTGTACATTGTTCTTCTTCTAAATTAAAATCTGCAAATCTAATAAATAACAATAGAAGAATGAAGATAAATTTCAGAAGAATCTTCACTAAAGGAGTTCTGGATTTTAATAAATTAAACAGAGGACAACTCTACCTGCATCCCATTTAGAGTCACTGTCGATCCCAAACCAGAATAATGGAGGAGGGTCGAGTGTGTGATTAGCAGCCACACACCGTAGAAACGAACATTGATAAAACACTGCTCAGCAGAAGAAAATCATATAAACCACATAAATCATATAAAACCAAATCTAGAAGTTGCAGCTTCTTCATTTAGAACAGTTAGGACGCCTCATGGTTAAAGACCAGACTCTTCGGAAATCACGAGACCGATACCCACTCTGACAACCGAAACAACAATTGACAAATGCTCATGGAGCTCACTCACAACCCGACATTCTAGTTGAGATCATCAAAATACAACTTGGAGGTGACCGAAGAAAGTCAAACCCGTTGGATGATGAATTCCAAGAAGCACCATCAACAACAATGAATCTCTATTGATCCTCTGATCAACATTCAAGAAAAGAAGAATAGGAATACAGGAATCAACAAATACCAAACAAAATAAAGTGAAGAATGTGAATCAGGAGACTACAAAGAAGCACATCTCATCAACATAACAAAGAGAGTAGATCTCAGCAAGTGCGAGAATAGGTGAGGCATCATACTACAGTCACTACCAGCAAATGATTTCAACAGAGTGTTGTTGAACCGGATGGATGCTTCAGTAGACGTCCAACTGTGAGATCAACACTCCGGATTGCGTGAGGACAGACCGTGGGCACCACCCAAATCACACTTGATGGAGAAGCTGTGGGAGAGGTGCGAAGCTCTACATACCTGATTAGCACCATCAATAAACAAACAAAATCTGACGCACGTGTGAAGGCACAAATTGGCAAAGCACATCCAACATAACCACGATCGAAGAACATCTACTACTCAAAACAACTGCCGGTCAGCATCAAAGTCACAATCTTCAATACAAACGTCAACACAATTCTATTTAGGACAGTTTGTGATTTCGTCCTCAACCAGTCTGGTCTTATCGTTGAGTGTTCGTCAGGCTTCCGGAAGTCTACCGACTATTTAGGAACAGGTTTGATTACTGCTCGTGTTGTTTCAGCACCACATTCAATTGTCTATTTATCACCAACACCTCCAACATCACACCAACTAAATCGAACTACTTTTCATAAATCCAGTTTCGTTGTTACGCTTTTCCAATCGCATCCATCACCTTCACTCAAACACATCCCATTACACTATTCGTTCAAAATCACATCCATCCATATTATCTGTGATGAGAGTTTTAGGAAATTTTCACGATATTTACCTACAACAACAACTACTACTACTACTACTACAACACCAAATGGTTCAGTTTGCAGACGATGGAAAGTCTCAATTACCCATTCTAACTACTACGTACTTATCAGTAGTCACACGATTTTAGGCTAATGTGACTTCATCATGAACGTGCTATATGAAGTTGGAAAGCCATAACAGTAAACTCTCTGCATATCTGTTCTTCTGTGATACCAATCAATAAGCTACAAAATCCATCAATTTCATCACATCAAACCAATTCTATAGACTTCAATGAAGCTGAGAAGCACGTTGAAATGAAAAGCATTAATGACCTAGTCTATTTCTGAATGTTCAGTGCCCACAAATCTATTCCTTCATAGGCAACTACACTATGACTGATGTGAGATTGAACATATCGATTTATTACCATAATCATGTAGCACATCACCATCTTCATGTTCGTTGAATTGCAGCTTTAGGAAAAGTGGTTTATTAGTAGCCGTTGATGTCGCTATTTCCCTATTTGTTACATGCAAATGTTTCTTCTCGTCGATAACTCATTTCAATCAACATATTATGTATGAGATCTAATTCCTCATTCATTCTGTCGACTGAGCATATCTTCCTAGTTCTACTTGCAAGACATTTCTATTCCACTGTTATCATTGACTCATAAACTGCCTTGATTGGTTTAGTAATTACATCTATGCATATAAATATTACTGCATATTACAGTTAAGCTTGATGAATATCTAGTGGAAAACAATATTGTTCCAAATGAAAAGCATTAATGACCTAGTCAATTTAGCTGTGTGATTCAACTCGTCAATACAACAACATGAAATAACAAACTAAATCATATAATGATTTCAACGTAAATTTCACTTCTCAACTGTAATTCGATTTCATTGTTCCTATGGAGTTATAGAAACGGTGATTGATGTCCAGTGTAAAACTCAGTTTGAGTGATACACATATTACTTCTTAATGACCTCTTCACCCTAGACGGTTGTTTCACTAATGGTCTTCATTTGACGATCTTAATGAAGTACCTTAATAACTTCATCTGATTTTCGAATGTTTGTGGCTTGACGCCAGAGCGCTCACAGTAGTCGACCGTAAAACTTAAACAAAAATGCAAAAAAGGTGTTAACAAAAAGCTCATTTATTCGGCAATATTTAAAATCCTTTGATAATTATTCAACTGACTGTCATCACTTCCTATAATTTAATATGAACAACCGTTTTTTTTATTTGGGTTACTTTAAGAACTAGACAAAAGTGATATTGCATATGCATTCCTGAGGGCAAAATAATTCACTAGAGCTCCTTTTGAAACATAACTTTATCATTATTGAACGATTATTATTGACACAGTTTGAAGATATTTCAAGTTGAACTTTTCGACTGAAAACTTTTGATTATTCAACTCGATTTAATCAAGCATTAATCGATATTTATAGCCGAAAAACATAAGCTACAGAAATGTGATGAATAGGATAAGAAGTGCACTTATACTCTCTCATATAAAAACAGTCAAGGTTGATAAACGAGTAATTAACACGGTCAAAATATGACTCAAGTAGAATGAACGGATTGGTCTACAACTAACTGACCGAAATCAGCTACCTCAGCGCTTTCATTAAGAAGTACATGTATGATATAATAAAGAAGTCGGAGATTTCGACTGTTCGTAAGAAACCTTTATACATGAAAGTGCAATTCAACGGGGATGTGGCTAGTGACACTCTGAAATATAGGTTAACCAAAGTAATCACCAGGACATTCTATGCAGCCAATCTTGCGTTGACCTTCTCTTGTCGACCAGCGATGTCTACTCAAACGAAGGATAAGTTACCTGAGTTGGCCTCTTCCATGTGCATTATTTGTTTGTAATTTTCAACCTCTTTGTATTCTTCACTATCTAATTATTTACACACATCTTATTACGTAATGATTTTAGTGTTTTGTGATTACTATTCCTAGTCTATTTACCCATGTTTGTTTGACCTACTATTCCCAACGTTTAACTATTGATAAGAGTTTTGTTATTGTATTTTATTATTCTTACTATTATCAGTTCACCTGTCTTCCTACTACTATAAACTTGTACTTTTACCTATTATGTGTAGAGACTTATTCTATTTCATTGTGATTATTGACCCATATTGCCTTGATTGGTTCAAAATTATTTTTTTAAAAATTATTTCAAGTTTCGACTACATTGATCAGCCTTCATAATGTTGAGAATAATTAATTATTTATTGTTTATGAATTAGTGATATCTGTGTTTACCTGGTAGAGTGATTGTTGAACTATTCTTTCTGATTACAATAAAAGTCGTAATTATATTCCTAGATTCCTAGGCTTAAAAGTAACACTTTCATTTTCATTATGTTTCAAATAATTTAAATAGTTGCCACATATTTCGTAAAATCAGGTTTCTAAGCATTTGATTTTATCTACAATAAATTTCCTCAGGGTGATGTTGTTAGTGAATCGCATCTTTTCACTTTAGAAGTTTCATAAAAAGCATTTTGTTTGATTAGTGAATATGTTTTTTATTCCAATTAACAAATAATACGTAAGGACAGAATGTACACGATGGTTACTTATTTAATAAAGTTTAACGAAGACAAACAAATAAAGTAACAGCGTAGAATAATGTATTAGTATAAAAATAATTTTGGAAAATATATTGAACAATTGCATTGCATTCGGAAACACTTTAACAAAATAAGTTGATTAAGTATTCCAAAAGTTGATTCGACAGTACATACTGAGATCAAAACATTATTTGATAAGCTATTTGTTTGATACACAATTATTTCACGTTAACTAATGCATTAGTTCATTCAGACGGAGTATTCAACAGGTTAAGAGTATCATTTATGTCAAAATAAGTTAAAATGAAAATAAAACTGTGAATTTTCATCCAATTACCGTAGAAAAATGTAATTAATAGTTCATAATGTCGCCAGTTTTCCAATTAATAACATCACCCGCAATATCTATATGGATAATGACTAGACAAGATTTATTTTCCGGTATTGATTCATCCAACGAAAACTCCTTCATATTAGTCAGTGTCCTGTTTAGTCGACTCAACACAATTCCTAAAAATGAGTCATCTATACGAATGCTTTGTGTGAAAGCCATAGCCACAGAAGCATCACTGACAATATCTGAACCCAACAAATAACCTATTCCATAGAAGTAAGGTGGATAGTAATCCCATGGGTATTCATTCACTGATACCGACCATTTCAAATCGAACTTCTCCTTTGACGGTCTTGCCACTACACTTGTATAATGCACAAAACCTCCTACGGTCGATCTCGAAACAGAAGCATTCAGACTCCTGACAAGTCGAATAGTGTTTTCAGGCAGTAATGCATAATCGTCATCAACGAACAGATACAATGGTGTTTGTCCCTTACAAAATGTAGCAGCCCATCGATATGACAATATCATCTTGGACGTCAAGTTGAAATACGTATCATGAAATGACCCGACCAACATATCATTGAATTTTCCACTCTCGTCACTCAGCTTCTTAGCAGCAATCCATCGTGAGCTCTCGTAAAGTTTAGAGAGTTCAGAAGCCTTCCGACCGAGATTCACAGTGACTCCGTCGAAATGATACACATCCGTTTCATTTGGGGTTGGCAATCCAACAACGAAAACAAATCGAATTCGGAAATCTTTCCACAGGTGTGATTTCATGTAGGTGTCTCGAGCGTACGATCGTTTGTCAAAGCAATAGATACACGACTTCACTATTACTATGAGATCCAGACTTTCTGGTGGTTTGGTGGGACTGCAAGCACTCGTTGGTAGTTGTACAACAATGATCGATCCTCCGTTGACCGGCTTCTGGAATAGAGAATGAAAGAAACCACGGAAATACCACATTGGTGAACTGACAATCAATTTCTACATGAGATATGTATCAACGGCAAGTGCTGTAAAATACACTGTTCTTGTTTGAGTGGATCTTTTACTGAAGTGTTTACTCCAGCCAACACTAAAAACGTGGGAGATACTAGGAAGTCATCAGATGCATCATTTATGTTAGTTGTAATCACTAGAATGCATCACTATTCAAAACCAAGCATCAATAAAAATTCAGTCATCCCAAGAGCTATGCCTTTACTTTGATATACAACATGCATGCTAAACCATATGCATTTCCAAATGAACGTCATTTGTTCTGAATCGATTCATAAATAAACGTTTCAATTGAATGAATATTTAAGGTATAAATGTATAAATCTATGATGAACTTCCGGTATTTTAGTAATCATTAGGTGCTAATGGTCACCGTTTTAACCTCGATCATATCATAAGTTAACCACAATCATTGTGACGTAGTAGTGTTGATAACACACTAAGAGCTACGTCAGCCTGCTTATGGATGTTTACAGTCACTGAACTCGTCTGATAGACATCCCAACACACAAACTGTGAAAACGATCTGTTTTAACACGGTTAACAAATCAGGTTGTGCTGTTACATGTTCCGAAATACGAAACCGTGAACATTCAAAAGAACAAACAGTTTATTAACAAGTCAAGCTAGTTTGTACTTTCCGGTAGAACATACTCACGCTATTCACTCTAACGCTGTCCATGTTCTATGCAAAGTAAGTCACCTGTTTCTGACCACTTCGCTATCAGTATTCGACTTTAACTTGTTAGTTTGTTGAAACTAACAGCTAGCATGTGGTATATCGTTCGCTCATAGGTATTTCTCATGTGTATTTCAACCAGGCGATCAATATTCGCAAACGTAAGTTACTTCATCCACCGACGAACTTCCGTACACTTGTAATTGATATCTTCATTTGATCAATCGGTGGTTATTATGTGCATAATCCGTCATCTATTAGGCAGTGATAACAGTCTGTATACTCAAGTTGGCAATTTCAGATAAACATGACATTTATATTTTCTGGTGATCCTCACCGGGAACCATCTGTTACATATCTGATTGTATCAATTCACAAATATTTACCAACTATTCGTTTGATAAATCCTATGTTAGACCTTGAATTACATGTTTGATTTACTCTCCATTAGGAGTTTCATAGACGAAAAGAGTGTAATGTGATGTTTTTAACACTCCAATAACTTTCAGTACAATCGCATATACGAATTTCGGAATATTACATTTCAATAGACTGATAGATACTATATCTCCATGTGTGCCTGTTATCTAGTAGGAACTAAGGCTCCCTGACCACACTGAAATTCGATCGATAGAAATCGATATGCATTAAGAAGCACCAGACATCCATGACATTGGTCACTACCCGGAGAACAATATGAGGAAAAGTGTACATCTACCAGTTTACTGTGAAAATGAAAATAATGAGAGTGACCACCCCTTACATTGTCTCCAATATCAAAGGATATTTAACTTGTTATTTGATTTATCAAATGCTCTTCCTTGAAGCAACGAACTGATGCTGATAACGTATAAATTTATCAAATCAATGAGAAACGTGATTATCGAAATGAACTAATAACCTAGTCATCATCAATCAAAAAACGTAAAGCGTGTTCAGATAACCCTACTTCAATAGCATGAAGTGCTTCTTTCACATTGAAATACTTCGGATGATGCACATTGCGCTTTCTCATTTTCACACTTGATTTCACGTTAGACATTGGAATTACATCACTACTATTCGACAAAACATAACGTTCATTCAACATATCATTCATATGATTCTCACTATTTATTGTAAATGGAATTTGTATATCGAGAAGTCCGTAGTTTAACGGTGTTTGAAACAGACGAACTGATGGTTGGAATCCAGACAATCTTACATAATTTGTTATTCTCAAATCATTCAATTGATCAACACATTGAAGCCACTTCTGCTCCGACTTCGTACATATGCTCAACATTTTCATGTGAAAAAAAACATCACTACTGAAAAATCCCTCTCCCACTGAATTGTTGGTTGTGTAATTATGATACAGAATAATTGATGGTATTTGAAAGAACAACACAGTCAATATGAAAACTGTAGTCAATTTCTTAGAAAAATATATTCCACAAAGTTTATATCTTGTCATAGTCATTAGGATTTAATGCGACTTGAATGTTGTTAGCATTTATATTCTAATTATTATACATCATTTATAGGTATCAATGAGAAAACCTCTTAACTCACACACTAACTCCATTGATTCCAATTTAGTATGTAGATAAATAGCGATACAGAGATTGTGCCATTAGTGCACTGGTTTCTAATTTGAACGCATACTTTCATCTAAATCAATATCATAAGTCAGAAGTATTCTCAAGTGAACTTTTAGTATATTTTCTGAATTTAAGTCTACAACAATGTATAATCCTTGTACGTTGTATTTCTTCTAAATTAAAATCAGAAAATCTAATAAATAAGAAGAGAAGAATGAAGATGAATTTCAGAAGAATCTTCACCAAATGAAGAGGAAGACAGGAATCAACAAATACCAAACAAAATAAAGTGAAGAATGTGAATCAGGAGACTACAAAGAAGCACATCTCATCAACATAACAAAGAGAGTAGATCTCAGCAAGTGCGAGAATAGGTGAGGCATCATACTACAGTCACTACCAGCAAATGATTTCAACAGAGTGTTGTTGAACCGGATGGATGCTTCAGTAGACGTCCAACTGTGAGATCAACACTCCGGATTGCGTGAGGACAGACCGTGGGCACCACCCAAATCACACTTGATGGAGAAGCTGTGGGAGAGGTGCGAAGCTCTACATACCTGATTAGCACCATCAATAAACAAACAAAATCTGACGCACGTGTGAAGGCACAAATTGGCAAAGCACATCCAACATAACCACGATCGAAGAACATCTACTACTCAAAACAACTGCCGGTCAGCATCAAAGTCACAATCTTCAATACAAACGTCAACACAATTCTATTTAGGACAGTTTGTGATTTCGTCCTCAACCAGTCTGGTCTTATCGTTGAGTGTTCGTCAGGCTTCCGGAAGTCTACCGACTATTTAGGAACAGGTTTGATTACTGCTCGTGTTGTTTCAGCACCACATTCAATTGTCTATTTATCACCAACACCTCCAACATCACACCAACTAAATCGAACTACTTTTCATAAATCCAGTTTCGTTGTTACGCTTTTCCAATCGCATCCATCACCTTCACTCAAACACATCCCATTACACTATTCGTTCAAAATCACATCCATCCATATTATCTGTGATGAGAGTTTTAGGAAATTTTCACGATATTTACCTACAACAACAACTACTACTACTACTACTACAACACCAAATGGTTCAGTTTGCAGACGATGGAAAGTCTCAATTACCCATTCTAACTACTACGTACTTATCAGTAGTCACACGATTTTAGGCTAATGTGACTTCATCATGAACGTGCTATATGAAGTTGGAAAGCCATAACAGTAAACTCTCTGCATATCTGTTCTTCTGTGATACCAATCAATAAGCTACAAAATCCATCAATTTCATCACATCAAACCAATTCTATAGACTTCAATGAAGCTGAGAAGCACGTTGAAATGAAAAGCATTAATGACCTAGTCTATTTCTGAATGTTCAGTGCCCACAAATCTATTCCTTCATAGGCAACTACACTATGACTGATGTGAGATTGAACATATCGATTTATTACCATAATCATGTAGCACATCACCATCTTCATGTTCGTTGAATTGCAGCTTTAGGAAAAGTGGTTTATTAGTAGCCGTTGATGTCGCTATTTCCCTATTTGTTACATGCAAATGTTTCTTCTCGTCGATAACTCATTTCAATCAACATATTATGTATGAGATCTAATTCCTCATTCATTCTGTCGACTGAGCATATCTTCCTAGTTCTACTTGCAAGACATTTCTATTCCACTGTTATCATTGACTCATAAACTGCCTTGATTGGTTTAGTAATTACATCTATGCATATAAATATTACTGCATATTACAGTTAAGCTTGATGAATATCTAGTGGAAAACAATATTGTTCCAAATGAAAAGCATTAATGACCTAGTCAATTTAGCTGTGTGATTCAACTCGTCAATACAACAACATGAAATAACAAACTAAATCATATAATGATTTCAACGTAAATTTCACTTCTCAACTGTAATTCGATTTCATTGTTCCTATGGAGTTATAGAAACGGTGATTGATGTCCAGTGTAAAACTCAGTTTGAGTGATACACATATTACTTCCCAATGATGTCTTCACTCCAGAATTTCATGTTGAGTCGGCTTTCGGAGAACTTCAACGGAGCCTCTAGAGTCCCAAAAAGGAGCTGAAGAGTCCTAGCCAATCATAGCGCGACGGAGCATTCTAGAATTTCAACGTGGCGTGCTACTATTCGTCAGTAGCACAATATTTCGCTAACGGATTGGCCGAAATATGATGTTGATTTAACAAACGCTAACATCTATAAATACCCATGACTTTCTGTACAAAAACGAAACTCGGAGTAAGGTATTTCTCTCATACTTTGCATCTTCTCTCTGGTGTTCAGGGCGCTGTGTAGTTCTAGCTTGCGAGTTATAAATATTGGATCAATCTTTTGTAGCAAATAATGAAGCTTTATAGAAATCCATTCTATATCATCGTTTCGCATCTGCTACTCACATCCGTATGCGTATGTGTGAATAAACAAGTGTTGGGTCATTTGACGATGGGATTAAACAGCAGAAGAGGAGGTTGAAGCATTAATAATATAGCGTCCAGATACTGATAAGATGAATCGTGTGACGATTTGTTGGGATATTCAGAAAAATATCCCAAAAATTATGCTGTTAAGCCTAATGCTATCCTTGGACATGAAATGGTATCATCTTATTGGTCAATATTTAGTTAACGTGTTATTTTCCTGTTGGCCATTATTGTACTATGTTATTTTCTATTTTATGGTACGTTGTGGTCTGCTTGACTGGTATATAAACAAAGTATGTTTGAAATATAATGATTCATATATCCGAGGCTGTGGCTTGCGTTCTGGACTGATCTGACTGGGCTAGACAGGGAAGCGAGACCAATCAGAACCCTAGGTCGTTCTACGTGTTTGCGCGTCTTTGGTCCGAGCAATAATTCGCTACCCTTAATCCGCAGCAAATATTTTTCACGTTATAACACGATTATAGAGGAATTGATGAGTTCATGTAAGTTTCGGATCACTTGAATAAACACATATAAAAGGCACACGGTTATGGGATCGCAATTATCTAGAATTCGGAGTAGATATAAATAGTTACGCAATAATTTTAGAAGATTTGAAGAGTCCACGTTTGTTTAGATGAATGAAAAATTTATTTTAGTGTTCATAAAATAATATTTAGTTTGGTGAATATTGCATATCAAAATTAGGACAATAATAACAAAGTTATTATTAACATTATTGCACGTGATTCCAATCAAAATTGTCAATCTTCCAAGGTTATGATAAATTCACTACTGTCTCTTTCTGGACACATAAATCTGGTTTGAGTTTTCTAATTGCTACTGCTTCACGAAGGTGAACAGAAGCTGTATTATGTTGTCACTTGATTATTTCAGAAGATTCGTAAACGTGAGCAAAACAGCCGCTGTCAGTAAAATCTTGAGCTATTGCACTCTTTAGAGATGTTGCACCTCTCACTGTCAAATTCTTTGTAAAGGGTGCTTGAAGTGACATTGTCTCAAGCGTTCATATAAGCTAACTGTTGAATGTCATGATGATTGGTGAATCTCATAGTTTTACATTACTGACTGACCATATACCTATTTGTGACTAACTCGAAAAGATAATTTACTAAGTTCTAGTGAGGACCCGTGACCATTCGATCTCAGGGGAGTCTTGTATGAGAAAAATATCACCAACGGTATTGGATATTACGAAATGACTTAAGTAAAACACGTGCACTAATGCGTGTCTGATCAGATGGTGGTTCGGATGTTCAACCTGATAGTCCAAATTTTGGTCGGTCTTGAGGTAGTCGGATATGCACTGCTGGAGTGTCTCAAAAATGAATGTGACAGCCAATCAGTCTCTTCTGATTTTCAGGTTGTCACTAAATATTTCACTAAGATCAGTCCATAAAGTGGGATTATAGAATCAGTAAAACTGTTGGTCTCTCTCATAAAAACTCACTTCAGGTATCAACACATTTTCGAAAGTGAAACTCGGGTGAGATAACCGGTAACGTTGTACAAAAACGGAAGAATAATCACTCTCAAATTGGACAAATACAGTGCTCTTCCAGACAAGCTGCCTAATGGTGATTATACAGAAATTTACTAATCGAGTAAACAATTTAATATTCAACATCTATATAAACTAACAGAATGTTTACAATCAGTCAAACAACTTACTGCGTCATCAGATAATCCTACTTCAATAGCATGAAGTGCTTCTTTCACATTGAAATACTTCGGATGATGCACATTGCGCTTTCTCATTTTCACACTTGATTTCACGTTAGACATTGGAATTACATCACTACTATTCGACAAAACATAACGTTCATTCAACATATCATTCATATGATTCTCACTATTTATTGTAAATGGAATTTGTATATCGAGAAGTCCGTAGTTTAACGGTGTTTGAAACAGACGAACTGATGGTTGGAATCCAGACAATCTTACATAATTTGTTATTCTCAAATCATTCAATTGATCAACACATTGAAGCCACTTCTGCTCCGACTTCGTACATATGCTCAACATTTTCATGTGAAAAAAAACATCACTACTGAAAAATCCCTCTCCCACTGAATTGTTGGTTGTGTAATTATGATACAGAATAATTGATGGTATTTGAAAGAACAACACAGTCAATATGAAAACTGTAGTCAATTTCTTAGAAAAATATATTCCACAAAGTTTATATCTTGTCATAGTCATCAGGAATTATTGCGATTTGAATGTTGTTAACACCCGTTTTCTAATTGTTATACACTACTCTACGCGTGTTTTTATTACGGTAATCGATTTCGCTAAATGTATTCGACCTATCTGCTGTTAGTTTTTATGCGTACTCTCACATTAATATTTGACAGTCGTAATAATGTATAGTTAGTGAGCATATAATAAAATCGAACTTACTTAAAACTAACATGTGCACAGGACATGTTTTTCATTTGTTCAATGGAAAGGATTTTTATTTTAACTTCAATATTGTATAGATTTATTTGCTATTACCTAGCAGAACTCAAAATGATTTTACATATGGGTTATAACCTTTAGTTTAATGCCACGTCATCACTATATGTCAGTTATGTCACGTATTATCATCAGCTGTTTTCTCATTCAACCAAATTAATGTGAAATATAACGAATAAAGTGAAAGAAACCATGGTAGTTTTTATGAAATATAGGGATTGAGAGTGTTTTCAACAACAATCTATGAATGTTTCTGTAGACAGAGTCTTTAGATGACTGTTACAAGGCATATAACGTTTAGGATGATTAACACTTTGTCTAACACTGTGAACACTGAGAAGTTATAATTGGAAAAATGCTCAAATTATTTACACCGTGTTAAAATTGTGATAGATTTTAAATTCGTACCATAAAAGTATATGTATTTCCAATTCCATTTAACAATGACTAACTCAGTCAAAATAAAATGAAATGGTTCACAAAATTAAATTCTCAAAGCTGTGATAGATCTAAAACTCCTTTTTAAATCCATAAATTTGTTTCGAATATTGTAATACCAAATTCTGCTGCGAAAGACGTTGCACTGTATCATTTATTAACCATTCAAATACGTTCGCGCATAAGTTGATGTTGAACAGAAAATATACAACATTTAAACTATTGGAAATTTTTTTCTAGAAAAAATATCATTCTATCTTCGCATACTCATATGAACATAGTATAGAAATAGACATAATAGTTATGCAGCCAATAAGTTTTTATTAAATGAGTCTTTACATCAAGGTTAGAAGCGATCATGAACGAAGTATTGATGTTATTAGTCATCTTTATCGATAGATAATCGTTAAAGTGTTATTAGGACAAAGATATTTGACAAGTGAACACCTTTTAATACTTCTGTTTTCATGTTTCAAATGAGTGTTAGATCTTTCATTGTACAAGTTAATAAACGGATTTTGATTATTAACTAATAGTAGTTAATAGTAGATTAACAACTATGAGGAACTCTTTAAAAATATAATCAGACTTAGGTGACATCACACAATGTTACTCATTATTAAAATAATCCTGAAAACATGTTTCCCAGTTTTAGTTAATTGTTTCTATCAATTTTATTGAATCTATATATGATATTATATTGATAGTAAAGTTCATGCGCATTCATCTTCACTTTTCCTACCTGCTCCACAAATGTTTTTCAGTTTGAACATACCATGTAATAAGTGTGAATAATATTCACTGATAATGCTATACTCATGTTCGAGAACTCAATGGTTTGACTAGTCTGTGCCGTAGCATAGATGTTAATTTACAGCTTTCTTTGTGAAGATTGTATTTGATAGATCGCTAATATTAAATCTAACAATATATGTTAAAGCTAACAAAGTTTAAAACGTGCTTTGGAAACTGTTCAGTTTTACACAGAAATGAAAAGGACCATAACATTATCTGTTCATATGCATGTTTTGATGAGTCAGAATAAATTATTATATACACTGTCCTATTTTCAAGAAAACATTTTAATCATGCATCTACGGAGGTTAATTTCAGACTCTTTAGCAGCGCGTATTGACAACAATGTACACAGGGATAGAACCCAGGACATTTATTTTCAAGCATGAACTCTTAAGCTCTAGACCGATGAGCCGGCATTTTATTAATTCATGATAATGTCATAAAGGGGGGAAGGTTTAGCATTCTACAATCTGATGTGGTAAGACAATCAGAAGTAGCCTAATGAGAAGGTCAATCGATTGCAATCAGAAGTGACATGAAGGAGGAGTGCATTTCATTAGCTAAGAAGTGGATTGATTTCCTAAGGGGTAGAGTTGTGTGTTTTTGATGGAGTTTTGTTTTTTGTGCAAACTTCAGGTAGAAGTGAAGTGTTAGAATTCCAGTCGAATGTGTGTCCACAGAATGTTCAGATCTTGGATAGAGGCAATTTTAAAAACACCAGAGAATTTTTAAAAGCTTGACACTCAGACCAATCAGCAACCAACAAACACATTGAAGTAGATCCAATTTATCAACCAATCAGAAAAACTATCGACAAATATAGGACAAAAAGTCAAATCAATGGGAGATACAACCAAAATGAAGAAGTAAACAATGACAGGTTAAAGGTCAACAATAACCAATTAAGATCGCGGTCTGTGAGCTATATGTGGAGAAATTCGAACACTTCACTTCTACTTGAAGTTTGTAATGATAATGTCTTTCAGAAGAACGATGAAAGCTCCACGACCAAACCATGCAGCTTGGGGAACAAAACTCCATCAAAATAATCCACCTACGATGAATATCTTCTCCACTATCTCAGAGTTGTAGTATATAAATGAGTATTTGTATATTTTGTTTTCCAGTCCAATATACTTTTTCGCTCACTTTTGTAATCCCATCCAAGTAGTCAGTTAGGGGGTTGGCGTTTAGCACGTTGTGTATCAGTATAAGATTTCAGACACCTCCAGTCATGATACAATCTTCGAAATTCCCTATTTGAATATAATCCTTCCAGTATCTCAATTCAGTTTCTATTGTAATTTTTGTTTGAAGTACTTTCATTTAGAATTGATTAGCTTATATTGTGACTAATTTACGTTAATTTCGTCACAGAGTAAATCTCAAAAATGGACACTGTTACTTGCAAAGTGATTAGCATAGATCGGCTTTCTGTATGACTTTCTTTTGATTATCAAATTAATTATTATCATCTGGTTAACGTCAAACAAAATACAGTCCTTTTGTATGGAATCACCTGTCTTCACAATTGATTGATCACTGGGTGGTGATCAACTTCATGTATGTCGAGTCCTTCTTAGTTCAGATCGAATCCTATCGACCAAGTTGCAATGTGGCCACTAGTCTAGGTGACCCGCCTTTGCGTGCACTATGTTGAGATAAAATGGTGGTTGGAGGTAGTCAACAGGAAACCCTGGACCCGGGTTTCATGCTACTTGATACTCGTCAGCAAGATGTACATGTAATCATGAGGGAACTGGTATTCCCTGACGGATTAGATCCTGTGTCACCCAGCTTCACGGTCTGTCATGGAGCACCAGTTCCCTCAAGATTATAGGTACACTTTGTTGACGAGTGGCATGAAGGCCTATATCTTGAAGAACGATCAACAAAATTGAAATTTCCATTGATATTCTCAATGACTATCTCAGATAACGACTGTGAAAGTAAATTAACCACTTTACTGTTCAGGGAAATGAGAAATAGTATTAATTGCAAAATGTTCCAAGTTATTAAGCAGTTTTATTTACATTCAGTCACATTTTCGGTATCATAAGTATATTAAAGGAATTTTGAGTAAATGAACTCTACTGAACAATTATACCGACAATGTTATTACCTGTTTTTCAGTTACTTCTTCAATCTGCCCAAATAATCTCTTTCTTTGTTAAACATTTTCCTGAATCTTCATCGGTTTCAGATAGATGAGTCTTGATCTGACAGCTATAACTAGTAGTTTTAATTTCGATACCTGGATATCGTATTTCCCATTTAAATTTTAAGCATGGCCATCACAAGATACAAATCTTGGGATGAAGATTTATTTAATAGAGACTAAAGAAGACTGATATCAGCAAATAGTGAACTTGTATAAATATATACAGGGTCTCTGAAAATGGTCATAAACTTTAGGGAACAAAATGAGGCACCGAGAAATACTCAAACAGTAACTAAAAATGGACGATGGATTGCTTGAAGAGATCTGATGCTAAAAATAAGATACAAATTTTACAAATGAAAATAATAGTCACCAGTAAATAAATGAATATCTGAAGATTTATTAGGTGAAAAAAGTCTCGGGTAAGTTATTCATAGCACAAAAATAATTCAATGTCTCATTCTACCAGCATCCTTGCTCAAAATAGGCTTCATTAAAAACAAATCGGTACAAAGATTCGACAAACCTGTGAAAAATTAATCCAAATACAAATTACTACAATGATGATAAAAAAATAAACATTCAAAATATAGAAATGAATAAAAATTGCATGTATTACGTTTAGGTTTTTGTTTATTCAGATAATTAATGTAAGAATCTATATACGAATCAGTTTAAATCATTATTACTTTTGATTAACTTTTGATCCATCTCCATGATAACAATCGTTGGTTTTTTTACATTTAATTTATCATTTTGTGTAGATTTACTGTCAGAACTATCTGATATGGTATGCGGAATTTGTTACTTTAATATTCTATCATTTGTTGCTGATTAAGTGACTTCTGCTATAGTATACCAGTAAGATTTAGATCTGACATAATATGACTTCTAATTTGAAGAACTAATTGCAAATTAATAAGAGTTTAATTAAGCTATCATCTTAGCTCATCATTTGTTTCACTTATGATAAGCACCATGTGATGATGACAGTTTGTTGATTATTATGCATAGATTGTGAACATTTGATGATTAATGGAGAAATTTGAATTCTTGACACAAATTTTAACATGAACTTGAACCAGAAATCAGGATAATTGATCCATAATTCTTATTTCTTTGTTTAATAAAGTAACTCAGTGACATAGGAAATATTGAATACAAAAATAGTTCATGGTCATAAAATGTATAAATTGGTTTGTATGACACGCTTTTATGATCTTCTCAATAGTCGATAAAATTATGAACTGACTATTAAAATTAGTTCTTGTTAGCCAGACAGCATTTGCATGTCTATAATATACATTTATTCAGATGACTAATATAAGATTATTTATAACTGAATATTTACAGAAATAAAGACTAATTTATTATTGTGGTTTAAGCAAACAGTAAACCAGCGCTTGATTTTTGTATAATAACTGCTCCTGATGCTTCGAAATTTGTATCAGTGTATACTCTGAACCCTTTAAGTTGATTGAGCTTCTTGCTCAATCTCGCCAAAACAATCCCAAGGTATGCATCATCAATACGAAGATGTTGTGTAAATGACATTGTAACAGAAGCATCACATACAACGTCAGCTCCAATCATATAGCCAATACCATAAAAGTATGGAGGATAATAACTCCATGGATATTCATGAGGTGAAACATCCCACTTTGAGTTGTAACTTTTATTTTGTGGTCGCGATACAACTGATGTTGCATGAATTGGACCACCGACATATGACTTCATATCTGATATTTTAATTGACTTTACGAGTTTCATTGTATTGTTCGGATGAAGTACATAATCATCGTCAATAAATAAAAATAATGGCGTTATATTCTTACAGAAGGTACACGCCCAACGAAAAGATAACATCATTTTCGTAGTTAAATTGAAGTAAGTATCAAAGAAACCACCAACCAACATGTCACCATAAAATCTGCTTTCATTTCTCAACTCTTTTATTACCGACCATCGAGAAAATTCACGTTTTCTCGATTCCGACCATGATTTCCCATTCAACTGAATATTTACACCATCAAAATGATAAATATTTGTCTCATTTGGTATTGGTAATCCAACAACAAATACAAATCTGACTGTTAAGTTATTCCACAGACTTATGTTCATGTATGTTTTACGCGCGTATGACCGTTGTTCATAGCAATAAGTGCAAGATTTGATTAAAACCACCAAATTTAGTTTCTGTTTTTCATGACAAGGATCACAAGCACTTCTTGGGGTTTCCAAAACAAATAGATGTTCATTATTTATGGGGACCTAAAGAAATATTTAAACAAATATTATAATATTATTTTGGTAAGTTTTCTTCTTAGTAGAATTCGTCAATTTAAAGATCGAAATTAACTATCTTAAATAGTTTTATTTTAAATCTCTATCTACTAAAAATAATACTGAAAAACAGGAAGAGTTTCACAGTGATTTCAACAAATTCTACTTTATATAAGTGAAACTAACTAAATATTGGACACTGACACACTCGTTTTTCTTTTAATATTTCATGTATAGTCATTCGTTGCAAAGTTTATTTTTCAATTCCTAACACTTAGTTGACAGGTCACAACTGTCTAATTTAAATCTGGAATTATTTATTTATTTTTTATTATTCATTATCATTGTGATGCGTTTAATGTTTTATGACCGGAATATAATTTATCAAGATACATCAACCTTGGACTATCATACATGAACATGATACTAGATCACGTGATACACAGTTACTCAATAATCCGGCTGTTCTTTAGAGAATCACATATAGACCGGAATAATTGCTAATGGAAATAACATACAAAATAGAACGTAAGTGTTATAGTTGGAACAAAATTGGTTTCGAACGCGGAATGAACTTTACAATACCAGATAGTCTCTGATACTTGGTGAAGTTGGATATGTCTGTTTCTAATTCTTCATCGATTAAAGGTCATTTCGTGTGGACACATCAAAATGCTTTATAAACTCTGTAATATAATTTACACCATAACCCAGTGAAAAAACTACAGCTGCCGCTGATAGGAAGCATTGATCATATTCAGACTTAGATCAGGAGTATCTTGATTGTTGTTTTATAGCTGATTTGAATTATTTATCGGAATCAATTCTTAAAACTCACTCACATGCCCGTATTACGATTTCAACCAGTCATATTGAATTTAATAAGTGATAAAGAATCAAATTAGCTATAAACTACCGAGAGAAGCATTTTTCAGAAAGAAACGAGTACTGAATTGATTATGATGGCAGTGAATTTAAATGTGATATAATTAATATCCACATACTGGATCTTGAACTGGTATTTGCATAAAATAACAAGAGTCTTATTTAGAAATCCGTATTGATATTCCTGATTGTAATCGGATTTTCTCATAGCTTTGTATCTAAATTCACTTGTTTATCCACTATGAAAACTGAGAAGAAATTTGTTGAGATTTTGAATAAATATAATCAGTGGATAATAACTGAGTTTCTATTTTGGATTTACATCAATAAATTGAACAAAAATTCGACACGTTTATTTACTGTTGTTAACATAGTTCTACATGTACCCTTTAGACCATAGCTAATGAGTTAGCGGTTGTCATACATTAACGATAATACCAATGTTGTCATTGAAAATATTGATCAAAATAATTAGATTTTGACAGGTTACAAAACCAAACTGCTAATAAGTTCAAATAATAGTGAAGCTTTTAAGTTATAAATCTTGTCTAAATGTTGGTTTATTAATTATAATATTAAAGGATGGTTCTGCTTGTTAACTCAAAGACTAATGAACTCGTTCTATGGGGTAGATAAATTGGTGTATTAATAATTTTTCAGCATTTCTCATTTATTGAAATAAAAATTATTTACATAAATAAAACGAAATCACTTCATAGCTAATTAATACTAACCATAATGACCAGACTTTAAAATGAAGAGACTTTGACTTACAGTGTAAGAAAGAGTATTAAATCTATGAGGAGATTCATATATTAAACATCATTTGAATTGTATCAACTGCCTAAATCAATGATCAAGTCAACCAATATATACAATGGAGTTACGAGTCAGAATTCATGGATTTAAACAAATTACTTTTCTGTTTCATCATTAATTATAATCTACAGGAAAAATTGACTCTAAAATAACTGTGTATAAAGCCTATGAATATAAATGATTATAATCAAATATGAATGTCATTATGTCAAATTAAATTTCAATGAATATAACATACTTCGTTTGGTGGAAATCCATTTAACATGGCATTCAAATATTCAGTCATATTGAAATATTTTGGACAATGTCTTCCACCTACAGATTTATCATCTTTAACATATGACACACTTTTGTTATTGATTGTTTCAGTATAAATTTCATTGAACTGATATGTTGTATTCATAGATTCAGATAGTATTTTCAATTGATTTTTAAAGTTTAGAAGTTCTATTGTTTCATTGAATATAGGCAAAGAAAAATATGTAAACTGGAATAATTCTGTAGATATTTGAGTTGTTCCTAATTGATTAGAATTATTAACATGTAAATTATTTAAAGCATTAATAAATGCTAACCATGAATTTTGTGATTTAACAATTTGTGTAAAAATATCGTTTATACATAATGTGGATGATTTGTTTGTATAAATTATGCTATCGTGTTTATTTAAAATATGAATATACAAATATATATTAAAAAGCAATCCGATAATAATTAATGTAATTTTCCAGTATTTAATCAGTTTTATTGAAGGTATTACTATATTGGTTCTCATTTTATCGATACAATGGACAATCTGAAATAGGAGAACACACTATAAAATAAGAATAACAAATTGTATATATAAAGTTCAATACAAATAGATTCACAGAAATATGATTGCTTTGCACTCGAAAAATAAAATTTAAGATTCTACTCAAATTTTGTATTCTAACTGGTAACAAATAAAACAACCGATCAATGTTCATTATAATTATTTGTATTGTGATTGCTACTTTTATATTGAGTTCATATTTTAAATCTATGACTGAATGTGATTAACTCAAACAATCAAATGAATGTTTAGAATAATTGTCTATTTGTATCCAAAAATGTGTGTTGTATTGATCAATGTATAGTCACAAAAATAGTACTCGTTTTAACTTATTATCGACTGATCATTAAACATTCATTATTATTTATGATGAACTTGACATTTTTAAATGTACAAATGAAAAATTACAATTTTTTTTCTTTTTTTAATCTTTCTGTGTTTCAGGAAATATGCGTCCTTCTTTGTCTTATTATAATATTATTATTATATTTTTAGATAATAAACATTTATTATCAGAAGGGGTTTTGTAGTGAGTTTAGAGATTTCACTGACTGAAACCATGAGTCAATTGAAGCTAGACAACCATGGAAAACCTGGAAGTACTGGACGGCCGTTTCGTCCTGGTATGGGACTCCTCAGCAGTGCGCATCCACGATCTCGCACCCCCGCAAGTTTCAAACCCGGGACCTATCTGTCTCGCGCCAGGCGTTTAACCAACTAGACCACTGAGCCGGCATCCAACGGTGTTAATGTCTAATTTCAACCAATCCACGAAGTTGCGCCACCATACACCATTGTCTTCAGTGAGTTGATTTCTCACAACAGACCGGTTGAACTCCACTGGTAACGGCCTCTCACTAGAACTCCAGGAGTATCTCTTGAAGTCAGTCACTAGTGAGCAGATGATGAGCACTGCTGAGGAGTTCCATAATAGGACCAAACGGCCGTCCAGTGCTTCCAGTTTTCCATTGTGGTCTAGCTTCAATTGACTCATGATTTCAATCAGTGAAACATTTATTAGTTTTGAATTTATAGTTGGATGATAAAGTGAACATAACATTAAGAACAAAAATTATATTCAATCTTTATTGATTAAACATTGTTTATTATTCACTTTCCTCTATCATATTTTAATAACATAACTTTTTACTCATTGAATCAATAGTAGTAATAGTAGCTGTAGTTACAAAGTATGACAAATATAATTTCATTATTGTATTATTGACGACTTTACAACTTACAATGTTAACTAATTTAAACTCTTGAATAATCTATTTACTTTGTTGATGTTAGTGAACTTTTTAAGTGTTTTATTGTATGATTACATAATAGTAGTTTCTTTTAATTATTGCTTAATTGTATAAATACTGGGTACCAATGATTTTTAATAATCCGTTTATTGATTTTATAACAATTAAAATAATCAAGGTTAAAAAAGAAGCATTTAAGTTTAAGAAAAAGTATATTTATTTTCTATAGGTTATACTCGTTTCAAATATGTATGAACTTAGAGATAAATAATTGATTTCAATTATCTGTCATCTATTAGTTACATCAGAATAATAATTTCTATCAACAAAATTATTTCTTTTCATAATTTTGATAGAATAGTTCACTAGAATAGTGATTGATGTAATAATATAAACAAGAACCAAATATCTTAAATGAAACTGGTATTTTAAATTCGTATGTATTTACAACATCTTTATTTGGTGTTCATTTTGCAGATAACTAAAACTAAACAAAATTGTCTAATAAAACTGAATTTTTTTTGAATTTGCTTTCTCATAATCTATCAGATACTCAAAACATTTTCTCTTAGAAACGGTAAAATATAATGAAAATAAAGTCATTTTAATCCAGTGATCAAATAGAGATTCCTGTCGTTTCCTTAGTTAATTTAACTAATATTATCTAAATTCTATTCGGTATCAATGGTGTGTTCCGTTCCAAGTAAGATCGACCAGACTGATCTATTCCCAATTCAGTAAGTAATGGTGTTATCAGTATGATGGTAATTTAGGGTTACATCCGAAAGAAGAATGAATGAATGATAACTGCTAGGGATCATTTGTGGACTATTATTGCATATATTCATATTGAACTGCTATGAAGTAACTAGATTATATGTATATTCATATTTCTTTTATTATAAGCTTTCAGTTAGCCTATTGACTACTATTATACGATTTACCATTCTTAATTTATTCCCAATCTATTAGTTACAGTCTCCTACACACATGACTTTTGGCTTGATGTTGTACAATTATTATTTTCCATTTTATGGTGTGATGCCGTCCTATCTGCTTGTATATAAATCATGTATGTCTGAAACATACGATTCACATAGCTGAGGCTGATATTTGTGTTCTTAACTGAACGGGTTGGGTTAGGCATGAAGTTACTATACAAAGGACCACTAACGACTCAGAGTTGACTCTAGACTCCTCGTGCTAGTTAACACACACTAATTTAGCACATGTAAAACATCATATAAATCAGTATTCTGATTGGCAATTTTGTCACGTGATATTTAACGGTCCATAAGTCATAGCATTTAGTATCTGTTACTTCAAACATTGTGTAATAACCGAATAGATTGTAAAAATTATAAAAATCATATTGAACAAGAAACTCATGTTCGATACCATAAATAGCAAGAATAATTAAGAGATTTAAAAAAACATAGTTATTTCTACTCCACTTACATGGTTGACTGAAAGATTCCTAGTTGTACTACAACTTCAGTGGTACAATGAAACTCAGGGTATTTGATAGATTTAAAATAGATGGGTATGAAATATGCTTCTGCTTCTACTAATTAATAATGAAGTGTGATTAACTGAATATGGTTTGGTCCAACATGTTATGACTGGAAACTGAAATTATTGTTTCATTAAAAAGTAGTATTGTTTTTAATTTATTCATGAGTTAAATTTTAACTTAAGGTATTACAAATAACCAACGGATTTCTTTTTTGAAACTCATTGTTTCATCTAAATAAATCAATAACGTCATTCAATAGTATTTTGTAAATTAACCATTAGTTTGTTTACTAAAATAAAAGTTGATTTCATTCATAAACATGTAAATAGGTAGACAAACAATATTAATTGTGTGGTTATCTTGGCATTATTATGCAGGATAATTTCAAGTTTGTAAGGTAGTTCGTTACATTGACTAAGGTATGATCAAAACACAAATAACAGCTAGTATAATATGCACTTTTAAGAAGTGTGGTAATACATTAGTTCCAGCTTACAATTTCCAAACACTAGTAGCTAGTGATTGTTATTAATAAGTCATGTTGTTACAGTGTAGAGGTTTCTATACTGATTTTAAGAGAATCAATGGTATAGTTCCATAATTTGATTATATTATCCGATAAAGAATACTTTTTATCAACGTATTCCTAGCTTGTTTGTTCATTTATAGGTCTCTATGTATTATGTGTTGATAGCAAGCTGCATTTTGGTACACAATTAAACATTTCATTTATTCTTGCTTGTTCGAAAGTTGATCACAATAAATACTTCACTGAAAATTACTTTTTTACAAACTGCATATTCGAGAACGACTGATTTGATACAGGTAGCATGGTGAGAAACTCACGTGTAAATTAGATCCGAAGTTAATTCTTATTTTATTAGCAACAAAATGTAGTGTAAAATCTCGTTAGATAGAGACTGTCATCTCGTTATGAATGATAAAAGAATGATGAAGGCGACTCATGAGATAATTGTGTAAAGCCCTACTCTTATCAGTGATAATTGTATTCATTACAATTATTCACCTTATAAAATAAAGGTAGCATTTCATAACTTCATATTTTGTCTTTAAACTAACATGATTTCTCAGTGGAAAGAAATTTATCCATGTATATTCCGTGGTGAAACTATCAGTGTACGCAATATCGACCACGTGTAACTAAACATAAGCTGTGTAGTACAGTAAATTTAAAAAGAATTCGCTTATCGTTAGATTAATTTAATAAATTTAAATGTCTTTTAAAAAAATCGTTTAATCGATGTGTGAAACTCGCCTATGAAATATTCAGCTTAGAATATGTTTCGGTAAGATGGGAATTAGTGCGAATCGAACAATTTACTATGTTGTATGAAATAGCCATATCAAATTTGGACGGGAAACTGTAGATAAAAATGATGTATTATCTACTAAACTTGATAATACTTTCTAACTAACAGTCAGTAATATGTAGATTTTATTCAAATTAATCGTTAAAACAAGTATATTTCAACTTCATCATACTTCATTCCGTTGATGACTTTCTACAAAGTAAAGTTAACAGCCTGAATACACATAAACAGTCATAAACAATGAGACAGGAGAAAAGTAAATGAGGCGTGACCAATGAACAGTACACTATACTTCCACTTTTCACTTCTAATGAGAGAAATTAATTAAATCTTCTCACCGATTGTCATGAGCTAGACGATACACGTAAAGTGTAATCTAACTGGTTGTCATTTTGATCTCAAATCAACTGATACTGGTAAATAGCAGTTAGTGAGATGTTTTGAATCCGTTGTAAAATGAATGAGCATCAGGCATATGATTGTATGGGAGGAGCTTATGTTTAAAAAAAGTCAGTCTACACTCAAACCAACTCCCATAGTGCAAATACTGAACCGAATTCAACGAAGGGTGAAATGATAGTACCGAAACTCATTATTCGATTTACATTTTAATTCACAGCAACAGTCAACTATGTAACACCTGACAATCAGTATTCATGTTATATAAAGTTCAGGGATTGTATGAAGTACAAAAACCGAGAGTTGAATTATTAATGTTTAAAATTGTACATAATTCGACAATTTATGTATGAACACAACAAGGTTTGATACTATGTGTCATGAATGTTCGCCTATATGTAATAATTTGCTATTGTCCAGCGGTTCTCTAAGTTCAATAAAGGTGATTTAAGGAATCGATTGAGTTACTAAGAAATTCAGACAAATATCTTGTGAACAACAACTTACGACAATTGTTAAATCATTTTATCCTGTAAAAGAACTTGAATTATTTCAGATGAAGATATGGGACCATAACTGAATTGGAAGTTCGGAAATGAATTCAATAGGAATTGAACAGGAATTAATGCGATTTGAATGTTGTTAACATTTATATTCTAAT